GCTGCAGCGCTGCCGAGCACTTGAAGAGATCATCTTACTGCTGAAATGCGTTTAAAACACGAGGTCGGGCCGTATTTTTATTTTTTTTTATTTCTGGTTCTTCTGTTAAACACGTGGAGGCTAAACAAAGTGACTGTAAATCGATCACTGAGGACAGTATTTCAAGAAATGCACTGAGTAATCTGACCGAGTAGAATAGGTGTGATTAGTTTTAGGGGTGGGAATTAGCAATGTAATGATACAAATGATACAAACAGTCATTACATGGCAAGCAAGCAGTGCTTGCTTGCCATGTAATGGACCCATGAGAGGGTCCATGTTCTAGTCTTTACCACAGTTCTATCACTTTATAACAGCTGTACGAAGAGGCTTGAAATTTTATTCCTGGGGTGTGGCTGCTCTGACTGACAGGTCGATGGACAGCCTGTGTATGTTTGGCTTCACCTCTGCTTATTCAACTTACCAAACTTGTGGTGCATTTTTAGCTCAGTGATCTAACGATAACATGGCTTGCATTCATAGACTGTATATAAAGGATGGCTCTAACTAAAGGGTCTGAAAGTGGAGATAATGCAAAGTGTCTTACATTTGCATCTTTCCTAAGCAGGCCAGCAGAGAACGACTCCTGTGGTTGCAGAAAGGGGTTTGTGTGGATGCCTCCCTGTTTGTTTCTTACATAGCCGAAAATGACTCTCTGTTGGATTACACAAATATTTTAAGCGCAATCTGACTGCAAGACGATCGGCCAATACATCACAGTACACACAAAGGAAGAATTGAGTGTTCATTCACTTCGCTGTGGTGTCAGCCTGCGTGTGTCGTCCTTATTGATTAAGCTTGATTATTTGATAAAGCAGCAAACACAGTTACTGTCTGGACTGAGCGGATGATATTAATCACATTGCTTATCTCCACTTGTTTAGTCTGCTCAGCTTGTTTAAAACCTAAATCATTTATCCTGCCAGTTCCTCAGCGTTTAACCTGCTGCAATTCAAGTTGTATTTAATCAAACGATTTTGTTTTTAAAAATGAAAAAAGTAGGATTACTTTTTTCATTTTAATTTAACTTAATCAAAGATTAGTAGAATTTGATTAAGTCCTTCAGAGCTGTGGTCTCATGTCTTTTAAAGGTCACCTGAGTGTTGCCGATTGTCAAAACAGCTACTCGGATGTTGCACACTGCTCCAGCACTAATACCCATCAGATGGCTGTATGCATCCGTCAGTGCAGTTTGCTCAGAAGCCACCCGCAGGTGCTTGTGGTAGGCTGGCAGACGTTGGTGTAATCTGGGACACGAAGCTGTTGCCAAGGCCCGCCCAATGGTGCTTTGGAGCCCAGAGCCTTGGTTATGGTTTGTGCAGGTGCCAGGCAGGCCCAGGGAAACAAACAGGCGAGGGGCAGGGCACCAGCCACCGTACTGTACGCTTCCTCGAAGAACAGTGAAGCAGCGCTGCACTGCAGCTGCTCATCACACCTGAAGAAATCCTCCTAAAAAGTTCTTTTTCTTTAATGCTGACTGTACATGCTGCAGCAGGTAGCTGCAAAAGTCTGTGAATAGTGGATGCAAACATCTGTTTTGTGTTCATCCCTCAAGAAGATGTTCAGGTTAAAGTTATTTATTTGTCTTCTTGGAGATGGTTTCTGACTGGTAAAACACGAGCTTCACGACTAGAACAGTTATGCAGTGTTTAGACCATTTTTTATTGGATCAGGTGAAAATCTGAAAATGTTGCTCGTGAACATTAAATCATGTTTGGTCGACTTGCTGTCTTGTTTGAATTGTTTGAGGAAAAATAGAGCAGAAATGTTTTATTTTTTTTTCTTTCATTGAAACTGTCATTTTGTGCGTTACTGTCGCACTAAAGTAGTTTAAGTTTGTTACGTTTATTCATAAGCACATTTTTAAAATGAACAACAAAGTGCTGTGCATGCTGAAGGAAAGACAACTTAACTGTATGAAAACAGGGGGAAGAAAATGGGAAAAACTTCTAACCAGTTTTAAATAAAATGCAAATCAGTCTGTGTACTATTGCACCGAAACGTCAAAAATAAATAGACTCGAAGCAATAACTTTGAGGACTCCTCGGCTGCTGTTTTCAACCATCAGTTACCCATAAACACACGAGCAGCGAGTGCAACTCATGCTGTACTGAGTGTGTGATAGTTTATTGATTTGACAGCATTCGATGGTGCTCTAGACGGCACACGACTACGATGCTGCTAAATGTGCGGTGACTTTGCTGAGCATCTTTTGCCTTATTCTTTGTTGTCTTATCCATCAGAGCAAACATGAAAATGCAGACAGACATGGAGGATGTCTAGGTAGGTTGTGATGAAGCTGCTCAGCAGGTAAAGGAAGGATATGTCTGATGTTTTTCTTTTTCACCTTTTAGACCTCCACCTCGGGGGTCATGGCTTTTAGAGTGCAACCAGTTTGTTGTTAAAGTGTGAAATGGACGAGACAAGCTGTGAATCTGCTGTGCTCTCTGAAGACTTCAGGTCTCATGGATCATCTTGCTCTGTTATCCTCCTTCCATTTAAGCTACATCAAAGTTGTTACAGACTGTATGAGGGTTTGGGCAATTTAGTTATTTTTTTTAAAATCGACCTTTTAAAATGTGGGTAAACACTGGTGCTGTGTTAATTTGCAGAGTTTGGCTAATAGTGGCACCAGCAGCCATCTGTTCCTGCTGGTTAAAGTCCATGTTGCCTGTTGGGAATTTGGTTACACATTGCTCTGGTGCAGTGCCAGTTTATTCTGACACAGCCTACATTAAACTTCATTTTCACTGAGATGTTGTCAGACCGAGCTGGTTTAACTAGATGGCCAGCAGGTATTCAGACCTGCCCACGACAAGGACAGGGAGTAAAATCAGACTAGATCACTAGTCTCAAGTCATGAAACGGTCAAACCTGAGTAGAGTCTAATGGATGAGGTTAAACACTGTCTGTACTAATATGGTGTAAATCAAAGAACCGTTTAAGCCGTTGGTTACATTCGGTTTTAACTGAAGTCTGATCTCAGATTAGTTTGAGAAGTGGGGCTAACGTAGGCCTTCTCTGCTGCTTGGTTAACAGATGCATAGAACACCAACTGATGTGTAATGTATGAGGTCACGGTTTTCTTACTGTAACCCGGGAGATGAATTTTGTTTCCTGTCTGCCGTGTCTACAGTGAGCAGACGTGCTCGCACGAGAGACGAGCGCAGACAGGAACCTTAATCCCTGCATTAATTCCACTATTGTCAGCACCGCGTTCAAACTTGAAAGTGAAACGTGTGTTCCTCATCACGACTTGTCAGACTTGTCGTTCAAGCTTTTACAGAAAAGTGACTAAAGTGTTCATTTAGACATTAAAACATCAGTTCTGATGATTTTAAAGGATAAAAGGTGCCTGTTGTGTCTGAGAGTTTTTTTTTTTCCCGAACGTGTCTTTATCTCCATCCCACCCTTCTTCTTTTCTCTCGCTCCCCTGCGTTCTCCTCATCTCCCCCACCTCCCACCACCTCCCTCATCTTCTCCACCTTCTCATTAACAGCAGCTGCATTCACAGCTTTTTCATTCTGAATAAAATCAGCTGTTGTGGGATGTGATTTTCATATAATCTGGTGTTTACATGCTCTGACGCAGTTAAATGGACAGAATAACGTCATGTTCACTGCAGCGCTTGTTATTGTGGCTCAGTTCTTTCATTTTTTTTAAGGTAGAGCTAATGTGCTTTTCTCTGATTTCAGCCTCACTTGTATGGTTACTCATACTGATACGAAGTAGTTTAATTATTAGTGCGTGTTCAACTATGTGCTAAAAGCTCAGACTTTTTAAATTCTTTTATTTTTTTTATATGTATGATGTCAAGAGTGGATGTCCTTATACCCACCAAACGTTCTGTTTCATGAGGGGCAGCCAATCAGTGATGTGAGGGCTGATTAGTGAGACTGACTGTAAAGGCAGAGAAGCTAAAAGGGTTTGTTCTAAAAGGCTCAAAATAAGACAAATGAAGAGTATTTTGATTTGTGAATCATGCAAAGCTACTCTTACTGAGTCCAAGAAACCCCATGGAGCTGGAAATATACAGCAGAGGTCCACTTCAAGAGTTTGTAATAAAATCAGAATAATTTTAGTCTAGTTTTTATACTACCAGACTATTTTCTTTACATTTTTTATATGTTTTGGACCTGTTCACTCTTTATTATTTTTGTTTAAATTTTGTATTGATATTTCTTTTCCTTCATACAGCCGTAGCCAGCGTCCTGACAGAGACGTGTTAGACTGTTGATGTAATGTGGTGCTGACTGGATGGGATAATGGAAC